AGGGTTGAGTCTTCTCTCCACGCCCAGGCGCCTCAGGAAGGCGAGACAGAACTTTCTTTGTTTTCTGTAACCCTGTCTGATTTCTGAGTTCCTTATCCATCAGGCTGATGGGGAACTTCTTCCAGGAGTTATGACCTAGATCTAAGGTCTTGATGCAGTAATGCGCGGTAGGAGGGTGGCGTTTTGGTGAAACAATCCCCGTGTCACTTCTTAGTCTGTCCTTGTGCATCCGCAGGTCCCCATCCTTCAGGTCCGACGATTTCCTGTGACTTCTTAACAGTCACAGTCACAGCCCAAAGGCATCCCCAGACCACTCCCTTCAGGCTCCCGCTCTGTCATTCTTCTCCAGGCCAGGGGCTCCTGGTTCTGCACTGGGTTGGGAGGGACCCCTCTCCACACTGCTTCTGGCCAAGGTGTCCAGAACATTTGCGTGAATCCTCTTTCCCCCTTTTATCTCCTCTACAAACCAGCTCGGTTCACCTAAGACTTAGGTTCTTAAAGAAGATGTTTTTGTTATTTCTGCTGCCCTGTTTCTTCCTCTCTGCTCTACTACAACCTGCAAAACTGCCTGAATGTGGGAAAGGAAACAGGAATATACAGGGAGAAGACAGAACATCAGTGAGGTTGTCAAATCACATCCAGCCCCTAACGGATATATCCCATGCAATCTTACCATGTCTTCTGTTATCCTCATTTTATGGAGGAGGAAACTAGGCCTTAATGAGGTCACGTACCTAATGTGTCCTTCCCACGTGCATACCCAAACCACTTCATGAAAAGGGGTGCAAGGGTTCGGTGAACTCAGTCCCAAACTTTGTTGTCATTGCTACACAAACAGACTCTATTTGAACAGAACTTCCCTGGGAATCTGAAAGTGTTTCTGCTCTGGTTGAAGTCACCTGGGCTGAGGGCTCCATATGCAGCCTCCTCCTCCCCCTCACTCCTGGGGGGCACCTGGGGCACTTCTGCAATGTCCCAGGTCCAGGAGCCCTCTGGTCTGTGTGGGCCCCCAGGCTGGCTCTGCAGCCAACCCCCCAGACCTGGATGGGGTCACTTCTTGGTGGATTTCCTTGGAAGACATCAACTTAGTGGCCCACAGAATCAAAACTTCCCACTTGGTTCTTCCTTTGAGGCTGCTGGACCCCACGCCTGTACACCATATCAAGGCCAGATCCATGAGCTTCTGAGAGGATTTGGAGGCTGGTCCACCCCCTGCTGCCCAGTTTCTCCACAGCATCCAACACAATCAGCCAGGGCTGCATGGGGCCAATTGCTTTAAATGAATGTTAATCCTGCTCAGAGCTAGATTGATGGGGCCCTTGGGAAGGGCCAGAAGGAGCAGGGCTACAATTTGTCCCTTGAGACAGATTTTTTTTTTCCTTTTTGGCAGATCTCTTTATCGAGGCTGCTGCTATCTCATCCCCTTTTATTCATAAAATTGGTGTTTTAAGAAATACTAATAGCCTTTGGGCTTCTGTAACTGGTCATATCATCTGTTCACTCACCAGATAAACATTAGGTCAGTACCTACTAAGTACGAGGTGCTGGGGTAAGCACCAGGGATGCAAAGGTGAGGAAGATGCATCTCCTTCACAGCCCACAGGTCGTAGGTCATAGGTCACAGGTCACAATTCATGCCTCTGTGCTTTTCTAGCCCTGGGAAATCGTAGTGGATGCTTGCTGGCTTTTTGCCACTCCGCATTCATTTCCCCTAACAGCTTGCTGGTTTCCTTTCCCATGACCTGCCCCCAACGAGCATAGCTTCGCTGAGACAATGAATCAGGGAACCTTGCCCTCCTCTCATGGAAACCAACAGTGTGTCTGGAGGTTTTCTCAGCCGCAATTCTTCCTCTCTCTGCCCAAGTGTAACCAAAGCCTGGAGACATGACCCAAGTCCTTCCAGTCAGACCCTTTCCTGGGACTCAGAAACAAGTTTGGGAGGGATAGTTGGCATGTGCATCCCAGCAGCATAACCTAATGAGTAAGGAACTTCTGTTTCCCATGCTTCTTCCAAGTCTAGTTCTTCAACCTTCCTGTGGGTTCTAAGGATCTCGCAAGTTTTCTTTTCCTTAAGACAGAATTGGTTTCTGTTGCTTGTAGTCGAAGAACCCTAAACCAACATGCCAGGTTCTACCTGTTATGTCAGTTGAATTTAACATGCTTGCCCCATCTGTTGCTGAGCTCTTGTTCTGAGCCAGGTGTTGTGGATACATCAACCTGGATGAAGACAGACAAGCAAACAACAAGCGCTTAAACTATGAGAGATGTCATGGAAGCACAGGGAACAAGGGAGGAAGAGGTCAGCTCTGCCTGAGGGCAGGAGGGAGCCAGGAAAGCAGGTCATCCAAACAGAGTTTCCTGCTTTTGCTCTCCTCCCTTACTACCTCTCCCCCCAAGCATTCTCATCACAGCAGACGAAGGGATCTTTTACAAATCAGGCCATGTTACTGCTGGTATCAAGACCCTCTAAAGGCTCCCTGTCTCAGAGTATAAGCCAAGTTCTACAGTGGCCTACAGGCCCTCTGTGACCTGGTGCCCCAGCAAAGGTCTGTGTCTCCCAGTCCTGTGCAGCAGGATGGGACCATAGGGTCATGCTCTCTCCAACTGGAAGACACTGCAGCCCGGCCACAGCTAGGGCATCCTGGAAGCCACAGGGTGAAGGTGGTTCCTAAATGACTAGGTGAAGCCCAGCTGCCTTCTGTTTCTAAAATGCATAGTCATGCCTCCAAGATTCTGGGAGTGAGTGGCTCCGCTCTGCTGCTCTCTTGTATTCCCATATACATTTCTGAGAGTTATTTAGGCTTTTCTGTCTTTGTCAGACTTAGTTATCAACATACTTTCCTCTCTGCCTCTCCTCTTCTAAGTTGAAGCTTTTAACTTGCTGTAGGCTAAGAAACCAGGCAATCAAGTTTCTTAGAATCGTTTCTTAGAACTTTTTTTTTCTATGAAAACAGAGGAGTTTCCCTTTAATGTATATTAGAAAGTAAAGGGCCAAGAACAATTAAGACCCTATTGAAGAAGAATAAGGAGGGAGGGGTTTGTCCTACCAGATTTAAAGATTTACTATTAGCAAAGATAGACAAGGAGACCTCGGGACTGAATAGAGGACCCAGAGATGGATCACATATTGATGAGGACTATGACAGGGTTGGCATTACTATAAATCAGTGGGAAAAGAAGAGACCAAATGATCATTATAGCAGAGGACTGGCTAATGTATGCAGAATATAAAATTTTAGATCCCTTCCTCACACCATATGCAGAGATAGATTCCATATATATTTTTTAAAACGAAATATAAGAAGCCAAACTTTAAAACTTAAAAGAAAAATCTACAAAAGAATATATTCATGAACTTGAAGTGGTGAAGAGTTTCTTAAATAAGACTAAAAGCGTTCACATCATAATGGAGAATATTGATACATTCAATGATCATAGGATTTTAAACTTCTTTATGACAAAAGGTGCTATAACAATGAAAAGGCAAGATACTCCAATTCTTTGCAACTTGTTTGCAGCCAGAAACATAAAGAATTCATATAAATTAGTAAAAGAAGAAGAATTTAAGAGAAACATGAAATTCACAGAAGAGGAAACCAGAATAGCTATAAACAAATGAAAAATGCTCGACCTCACTAGTAATCATGGGAATTCAGATTAAAAATAATGAGACCCCATTTCATGCCCATCAGATTGGCAAAAATTAAAAAGCATGATAACACCATGTTAGTGAAAATAAGGGGAAATGAGAACTCATACATTTCTAGTGGGAATATAAATTTGTACAAGTCTACCATCCTTATCCACAATTCCAAAATCAAAAATAACTCTGAAAACTATAAGTTCCCACCTCACCTTCAACAAATTTGGTTTAAACTCACTTCATGACAAAGCCTGATTTGGAACTGAAAGCAGGGTCTTGAAGAGATATTTGTACCTCAAGTTCATAGCAGAATTATTCACAGTAGCTAAAACGTGTAAGCAAGCCAAATATCCATGGACAGATGAGTGGTTAAGCAAAATGTGGTATAGCCATAAAATGGAATATTATTCAGCCTTTAGAAAGAAGGAAATCCTGCAGTACACTGCAACATAGATGAAACTTGAAGACATTATGCTACATGAACTAAGCCAGTCAAAAAGATACTATGTGATTCTACTTATATGAGGTATATTAGGGCAGTCAAAATCATAAAGACAGAAATTATAATGGTGTTTGCCAGGGGCTGGGAGGAGGACAGAATGGGGAGTTATTGTTTAATGGGTACAGAATTTCAGTTTTACAAGATGAAAAAAAGAGTTCTGTG